AAGACTTCACGATGAAACAGATACTTCCAAATGAGTCAAATTCATTGAAAATTCTATTAAATAACGCACGCTCTGATTAGGCATCGTGCAGAACTCATCGGCATGAATCCACCAAACTTCCGTGCCGGCAGCCTTTCCGTACCTTTCTAACCATGGGGCTCCCATCGTTGATGAGCTGGGCCAACATCATAGCTACATTGTGATCGATGGTGGTGGAGTGATCGGTCCGTTCAGCTGAGTTGCCCACAAATGTTCCCAGTGCAAAGACTGCAGCACAGCGAACCTGTGAGACACAAACATTCATTATTATTTTCCTCTTGTTTCCAGCTTGAAGTTTGCCAGTGGGATTTTTTTATCCCCACAAATGGCATCTCTGGAAACCTGGACTATTGTGTCAGGTAAATAGTGAGGGCTAAACAGAAGCCCATGGAGAGTAAAAACCAAAACAGATTCAGCAAAGCACTGAGTTTTAAGTATTCACACATGCAGGAATATATTTAATTTCCCAGAATACTCGGTGACGTTCCCATGGGTGATTTTTCCAGTTGACGTTGCCTAGAATATTAATTAACAGGAATAAGGTACACAGGGAGTTACTGTTGGGATGTGAATCTCTTTAATAAGAGTGTTGAACTACAGTCTTCAGAGAAGGGCTTACAGAAAGGTAGAAGATGATGGAAAAAAGAAAAGGAGAAAAGACAGCAGCTCAAATCAGGGTAAACTTTGCCAGATCACAGAAAGAACAGAGGGATCAGATGGCTTGGTAATCTTACAGCTTGCCTTGGCAGAGACTGCAAACGGTGGGGATTTGGTGCAATCAGCAACTGCAGGATGGGCTTCACACAGCAGAAACACTCATTTTGGCTTCTCAAAGCGAGGTGCGGGTGTGCCGTAAGGACAGTCAACCTTCACATAAATACTGCTTATAAAACGGGGGAAAGATGGGGCCAGAGAAAGGAGGTGGAGGATGCAGGACAGAAAGACTGAATGTAAAGGGGAATCTAATCTTTAATCACTGCACGTTAGCAATGGTGTTTATCTCCAGGCTTACTTCTCCCACATGCGATGTAATTTCACTGGGGTCTGACAGGCTCTGTCAATCATAGCCAGGCTGCGCACAAGAACTGCTTCTCTCTTGGAGAGTTTGTCACAAAGGTAAAACACATTCAATTAAAGATGTATTTTCACACATACCAGGAGGAGAACAGTTTTCATACTCGGCCAAAAAGACTAGAGGGTTTTTTGCAACACACAGTGCGTTTTGGGACCACATTTTTAACAAGCTTCTGATATGCAAGTAAGCAAAACCCCTGGTGTTTCCTAACTCTGGTGCCAAGATTCCAGGGCTTTCGGGCTATATGAACTCTCCCTGCATTTCTTTGGTTACTTCTCTTGCAGAGCTTGGATGATTTGCACCACCTTGAAGAAACAGCAGTAAGATCTTTCTTTGAACCAGACACAATCGTAAAGTTCTTGAAGGCCCTGTTTTTTTAAGTATTTCTGTAGCCCTCTGCCAGATTCTGACAATTCAACTGGTGTTTACTTAAAAAGTTGGATTTTTACCTCTGGGATTGGATCCGAGAGGAGGCTGTAGAGCTTTTCATGAGCGCTGTCTCTCACACCACACCACCGGGCTGAGTCAAAGTTCTGCCAAATACGTCCTAAACAAATGGCCACCCACTGACGCAGAAGAGGATGCGGATCATTTAACTGCTCCAGGCAAATAGCAATCAGGTTTCCTTGAAGGCAAGCTTCCTAAAACACAAATCAATGCAATTTATTTTGGATGACAGCTTCCCACCCCATCATCAAAAAAGAAGATTATTTCTGAAATAGACAGGAAATCAAGAGAAAATAATTATTCAGCGGTTATATACTGATTTTGTTATAAAATACCATTTGAAAGCAGCTTGAAGGGAAGGTCAACTACATGCTGTTATAGCTAGTTAAGTAGTTGAGCATTAGAAACACTTCCTGTAATGCATAAAGCCTGTTTTTTCCTCATTGGAAATACTCCTTGCACCTGTCAGAGCCCCAAGGTTTATGGCTCATTCCATATACCCTTCCCAAGAACTTTATCACAACCATCAAGTTTCCACTTGACAGGAACTAGGCACTATTTCTTTAATAGCACGTCAATGTGCTGCCTGGAGGGGTAGTTGTCGAGTGACTTGTGTCCTTAACCTCCACTTCCAGGTGCCAGGTACATAATGTGTTTGTCACACCTCCAGGTCAATTTTTCTTTTAATCCACAGAAAAATAACGTAAAGCAATCTTCTGTTTCGGTTTTCCAGTTCAGGGTTGTGCTTTTAATACAAGCCAGGACACTTTTATCAAAGCGAAGGCACAATGCAGAGAAGAGGTAGGACAGAATGAAAGGAAAAAGGATGTTAGGACTCACCTGTCCAGTGTTGTAGTTGTTAACAATTACAGCCAGAATAAAAGCAGTCATTGTCCTGTGTTCAGCCTTAAAACAAGATACAACTAATTGTTATCTAGAAAACAGGTCAGAGAACAACTACATCCCATGCTTTCTGAAACATGAGATTATTCTAAGTGCAGTTTGTATCACATTAAAAGAACAAGAGAGACAAAAGAAAGCTAGAATTTTCTTGTCATCCAGTCCTGTCACTAGTTACACCTGAGACACTTCATCAGACTGCCAATATGATCCTCCCAACCAACCTCCGTATATTGCTCTGGAGGAGGCATACAAATACCTATTACGGGAAACCACAAAAAACTTTTGCAGAGGAAATTACGAAAGTTACAGCGCAATTAGGCTGCCTCTGCACCCAGCCCCCAGGAGCCCCCCGCTCCCATCGTCACCACTGCGTAATCTGCACTTATATAACTTTAAACAAGTTTGCAAATTCTTGTTGGTTTGGCTGTCTCTATCACGCAACCTGGCAGGAGCATTTTGGTCCCTGGTCACTGACTCCACAGCTCAGCAATGACTTTCTCCAGTAGAGCAGTGGGTGTCACCAGAGATGGAGGTGGAAGGCAGTCCTACGTTAGCACCAACTGCATCAGAACAGCAACAGATAAGCTAAGACAAGCTAATGCTAGAAGAATCTGAATAAAGATGACTTGTCCTTACTGGCATATAAGGATCTGCCAAAACTGAAAGGAAATACTTGTGACCGTTGTCCTTCACAAGGTCAGCTTGGCATGACTGAAAAATGAGACAAAGAAAAACACAATGAGTGCAATAACATAAAAATATTTTTTTCCTCCAATGATGTATGAATATTTCATGTCTTAATAATTTTTCTCAACTCTCGTTTTCATATGAGAAGCAAAATAAACCGCAAGCCCTCCATCGGGGCTGCAACCAAACATCCCCCGCAGCGGAAGGGCCGACAGCGAAGAGCAGTGTCTAAAGCAAGGAACCCTCTGCCACCCTCCAACACGACAAACAGTAGCTGAAAATGTGACCTCCTGCTTAGGAAACAAGTTAAATTTGACATCTCTGTTCCACCTTAAACCTTCACCACTACTTAAGAGCCACCAAAGGCAAAACTGAGGAGGAATCTGATTTTTTTTTTTTTTTTAAAAACATTTAACAGAATAAAAAATATGTAAGATTAGAGCTTCTAAAAGCCCCTAGTCTAATTCTCCAATCCCATGTCAAGGCAATTAGCTCACCATAGTCAGGTTTGCTGATAATTGCTGCTCCCTATCTTCTAGGTGTACAGTTAGGTATCTACATAACTAGTGTAAAACCCTGGTCAAATCTGTAGCGTTCCCCAGCTTCCTTGTAGAGGACGTTATGGTCACACGCTAGCTACCAAGACTCAAGAAAGCAGCTGGTGCTGCATGTTCAGACAGAGGTGGGCACCCCGGCTGCTGCGGATGCTCTTGGGGTCCCTCCTCTGCCCCCCCCCGCTGCCCACCCGCTCTTACCCACAGGACTGCAGAGCTAGGGAAGTTTTTGGGCGAGTCTGGTGCGTGACCCTTCTTTAATAAACGCAGCACCCCCCTCCCCATGATTATGGAAGGGGCACAGTCCTCGCCGGTTCTTTCTGTGCCACTGTAGCTGATTTTCCAGCTCAGCCTGGCAGCCAGGATGTGAGGGTAAGTGTCTTGTGAATGTTAAAGTACCATCTTCCACAAGCAGGACAACTCTTGGAGACTGCCGCATGCAAGAAACCTAGCACGTTTCTCTTACAGTGACCCACATCACCGAGCGATTACCAGTAAATCTGTAAGGGCAAGGGAGGAATTATTCATTCTTTATATATTCATTCTTTATATTCTGTCCAATCCCCCACCTAGGCAGAACTAGATTTTGACAAGAAGATTTCAACTCATCTACACAAACGAGACTAATCGCCGTAATATTTGGTCAAGTGCTAACATGTATTAAATCGGTACAACAGTAGCATGTAGCAGCATGATCTCCTACTACACACAATCAAAAACTGCAGAGCAACTCCACCGTCTTCAAAAGCCCGTAAGGAGAATAATGCAGGTTTTCCTGGGGTAGCATCAGCAGTGAAGGACATGGTGTACACCATGTTTTTGCTAAGATACCAACTCAGGCTTCAGGTTGACACATTAGGGTCAAACCGAAAGAATACATACTACGAAAATGAAAATTTAAGGGAAGAAATACTGACTTGGCAATCAGCTTCCCCCGTGACTGTGGTTCTATTGTATGCTTCATGCCAGAGACACGATCATGTATTTTTTATCAGGCATATAAGGTGAAGGAGGGAACTAATTGTTGAAAGGAGAGGGGATGGCAAGACAGAGATGCAAGAGAATATTTTATTGCTGAAGGGAGTAAAGATGCTGGTTTTGGCAGACCAAAGAGCAGAGGGAATGGATTGATGCCAGGCTGCAGCTACGAGAGGCTTTCCTGACTTCTGTGTAATGCTGCACAAAAAACAGGCTTCCTTTTTTCCTCCCTTTTCATTCTCAGTGCGAATACTGTTTGTTCCTTACAAAAACCAATCTCTTTGCTATAATGTAGGCAAACAGACACCAACAAAGAGAAGGCTGCCCATCCTCACGCTATTTATTGTGCTGCCACTGTTACCCAAATACCTGAGGCTCGAGGGAGGGAGGCAACGTCTATAAAACCAGCACACTTGCTCAAACCCTCCCTGCTTAGATCCTGTGAACAATCTGGAAAGCCAGCATCAGTAACACCTCCTCCTCAAGAAATAAGCAGCTACACTTGTGAATAATAATACAACATGACCAAAACAAGCTGCAGGCTTGGTGTGAAAGTTCAGAACTTACATAAAATATAAAGTTCCCAGTGCTGGGGAGGGACTAGAGCACAGATCTCCTCTTTCTCCTTAATATAAGTTACATATGTGCTATGTAACTTACCCCTACAATTCTCACAAGTCCCTGGAATACAGCAGCACTGCCACAGCTCAGGGGTGTCCTGGGCGGCCACGCTGGTCAGTGAACCCTCACCCCCCCAGGTGGGTAGCTTTACCAAATTATCCTCAGGGAACACTTAACTTGAATATTTGTATTAATCATAAGATGAGAAATGGGAGTCACAATCCTGCTAACAAAGGACACATCTGGAAAGTAAGCATACTATTTATATCACTCCATTCCTTTAAAAAGTATGAGAAATGTTTGTTTTCTATTGCCTTCCGCCAGTTCTTTGGAGTGGTAAGATCTCTTTTTCACTGTCCCACTTTAGTAGTATTCACATTTTCAGTACTGTTTAATGCGTAGGTTTTTTTGGACCTACTTATTCCTGACTGTAATCCTTATTACAGGTGGGGGGATGTTTTTTCCCTTTAAATTCAAGTATTTAAGATTTAGAAGGTGCTGTTTACCAAACATTATCAATGTAGCATGTAGCAAATTTTTAACCTAAACTGTATTTGCAAGTGTTATAGCCATCTCCATGTGGCAGCACACAACACTACTCCTACACCAACCTATACCTGCCAGATACCTACAGTCGGCAACTTTGAACCATCGCTTGCTATACAGCTCTGCAGGTGGATTGTCTAGAAATACTCCAGCAGGCTTCAGGCAGAGATGACTAGAGTCCTCAATGAATATCCTACGAAAAATCATCTGATTATACATGGAATTAAAGCAGATTAATCTAAATATTCCAATGTTTATTAGGGACACCTATATACCACACACAAAAGATTCTGAGGTCCAATGTTTCTATAACACCGTTGATTTATCCTGTAATTTTTACAACAAAACACAATTCTTCACAGCATACCATGCTTACTGAAGGTATCATCTGAACGGACACATGGCATACTACACTGCTGATCATGTCAGAACACCTTCCTTCTGCCTCCCTGCCAAAGGGAGGGAGGGACCAGAACAGAAATATTGTCTTAGCAGGATATTCTGCTCTCCAGGGCACTAGCAAGTCTTATATAACTTGTTCTCAGTCACATCCAAATGTAAAGAGGAATGAGCAGCTGAACTCCAGTCCTAATGAAAGTGATTTCATCAGCTACAGTCTCCTGAAACCAAATAAAATACACGTACAGGGGACAACAGATGAAGGAGAGAGACAGCACCGAACAATTATTGCGAGGATGAAGATTACCTGGCAGAACGTTTGAAAATAAACACGCTCTCCTAAGCTAGGGCAATGGCTTCTGCCTGGATGATGGAGGCAGCACCCATTCGAACCAGAGCCGAGCCAGGTAGATGCACGCCCAGTGCAGGCAGAGGATCGCACCCTCAGACCCACGCACCCACCCCACGCGCAGCACTAACGCTACAGCGATTCCATGCAGCCTAACAATTAATTACTGCGCCAACCCTTCGGTCAGCGTCTCCTGCCTGCCTGCCCTCATACTCACAGAGCATGCCCCTGCAGTTCTCATCCCCCCGAGTCCTACAAAAGGCCACCTCTGAGAAAACGATGCTGACAGGCAGCGTGGCGTGCTCTCCACGCTCAGACAGGTCACAAACTGCTGCATCCCTGGATCACCAAAACACAAGACCGTCGCCCATCCTGGAGCATGCAGATACTGGTCTTGTGGTTCGTTTAGACAGATTTACCCTCTGGAAATGCAGCGAGTTGGGGAAGCGGAGCAGGCTGTAGCGTTAGAGAACTGGGAACCCACACAACACGCACGCTGCGATACTGGGTTTTGTTAAACTTTGTTTGAAACTGAATTTGTTTCAAACATACATGGCCAACCTTGTATCAGCAGAGGAGGGAAAAGACATGTCTGTGTTGATATTTAGCATATAACAAGAAAGTATTCTTTTAGCTTCCGATATGACGACGTATTTGTTCCCCTTATGGTGTGACAACTCGAGCCACTCCCTGTCCCCTCCCTCGGACCTGCTGAGGTTGCCCTCTCCTCCCTTCTCACTTGCACCACCTGTTTGTGGAGCTAGTGAGTGAAACAGCGGAAAGAAATCCTAACACAAAATTTAAGAGTATTTTTGCTGTTGTTTTGTTTTAAAGCACAGCCTACCAACAGAGTGGGGCAATAAAATAGAGTGTGGGAGCAATACTGATGGTGGCAGGAGAGGATAAGGGGGAAAGAGCCCTCTCAGACTGGCTTCACCATCAGAGAAAGTGAAGGATGGCACGCCGCTCTGCGTAAATTATACATGAGCCTACTCTGAAACGTACCTGGGGCTGAAGCGTCAGCCATGGAGAGGCATGCATCAAAAATAAGCTTTTCAAGAGTAGCTTTAAGATGAATAGTTTTCATTTTCTTTGCTTTCCAAAATCCTCTTAGGATGTTAATGAAAATATATTTATAAAACTAAACCTGACAACGCTTGATCAACAGTGGGGAAAAATTCCAACAAATTCAGTATTATTCTCCATACTGAAATGGAAGAGATATAACAAAAATAAACCCCCAAATAGGCAAGATGCAACTTCTGCAAGCAGTTCAGACAATTTCCTATCAGCTTATAATCGTGCCTGCAATTAACTGTGCGCACCACTCCTAGTAATTTTACATTGCTCAACTAATTGTACCCACAAACCACAGAGTCATATATATGACTATACAAATTTATCTATAATTACTTACCTGCTTAATAATTTATTAAAAAACCCACAAACCAGAGCTCTGGTTAAGGCCATCTTTAAAAATCAGGGCTCAGATTTTAAACCTTATCCCTAAAGGTGCCAAAATATTGTAGAGAAGATCAGAATCAGGACCCGTGACAGGAGTCACCTCTCTTCTGTGGGCGGTAAATACTTCTATGGCAACCATCTTCAACGCGTCAGCACGTGCATTAGCCTCGGAGCAGGACTTACAAGTTGAAGTCACCAAAAATTACCTTCAGTTTATTTCTAGAAAAATTCTGTGACTGAAGACTACCCACAGCCTGTTTTGACAACTGACAGGAATGGTCTTGAACAAAACAAGTTTGATAACAACCTAAAGTGAACAAATTGAGGGAGAGTATGAGTGTGTGCACGTGCGCTCGCACCTGGCAATATGTGGCAGAAGATACAAGTGCATTTTAAGCCCCTTCAGCAAGCAAAGCAGTATCTTCCCCAATAAAGATGCACTCAGTGAGATCTAATGGCTTTTACCTAGAGCACCTACACCCTAGAACCGAAGGGGAACTAGGAACCGTGAGATGTTAACGTGACATCGCAGCATTAACAGACAGAGCAAACGTGCTTTCAACCCGTGCAGGTGTGAAGAGGTGGGCAGCCAACCCACCCAGCGTCAGCACCTTCACGGGGGTTTCCCATTCACAGAGTTTCAGAAGCTAGCTTTCAGACAAGTCAAATAAATTAATGGGATAATACGCTGGTCCCCAGACAACACAGCGTCTCTTTGAAGTACCTCAGGAGAAAGTCTCAAGTCTAAAGCAACTGGATAAAGCAAACGGGGGCAGGGGAAAAAAGGCAGGTTGCTGAAACCCAAAAGAAACAGCCAAGTTCAGAAGTACTCACGCTGTCCACTGCCAGAATTTTGGCCCAGATGAAGACAAGGAGTGGTCTCAGCTCACGAGCTGAACTTTGAAGTAGCTTCAGCACGTACGGGAAAATGCCAACAGACAGGGCCTGGGAGCCAGAGAGAAGAGCAAACCCTTGTGAACGGCTCGGCTTTACTGCAGAGGCAGCACCGCGCAGGGGCAGGACTGAGCGCTCTGCGAAGATGCAGCGTGTTTAACGACACAGATGAGAAATCTGGTAGAAAGCAATTTCATACATTTCCAGTAAAGAGGGGAACCCTGTGTATTTGTCTACTGCTCATTTTAATCTTGGATGTCACCAGATATTTTCAGACTCATTTGGTCCACAGAGACTCAGAGTTAATCTAGCACTAGCTTTTACGCGTTACAGCCTGTGCTATTTTACGCTTCGTGATACGTTGCGCTCTCCTCAGATGGGGCCATTTGCTCTCACAAGTAAACATATTGCAAAAGCTCAATAATTACAGGCTTCCCACTGGAAACTAAACAGGCCTCTCGCCTGACACAGACTTTTTACCAAGACTTTTCCGTGGGATTAGAGACTATGCTCAGAGGAGGACATGCCACACGTTAAACCTCTGAGAATCCCACCGTGACTGCAGATACCCTTCCCAAAGCACAATGTAAAGGAAATGCATGGTGAGGGATTGCACTTGCAGCGCTGGGCTCCCGGGGGGTTACCACCCACATAACCTGGCAGCAGCTGAGCACCACCCAGTGATACATGTGTAAAGCATTTAACAGCCAGAGCAAAGGCCACTGTGGCTGACCTGCAGCTACGTTTTGATCCTCACAGAAGATTATAATCCAGAGGTCTCAAAATCACCTTTATTGCATACTTTCTTCCTACCACTAAGGGCTAAGCTGTCTGTGAAGGCATGCAGAAGGGAGTCTTGGCTGAGATGAAGGAGGAAGGTAAAGAAAACCACTAAAAAGTCCCATCTTTTAGCTATTGAGCTATTCCATGACCAGCTGGCAGTTCGTCTTCATCACTTTTATCAACAAATAGCTCTATTTACAAGTGTTTTAAACTGCTTCTCTGTTTAATTCTTATTTATTATCTACACTGTGCTAGCCACTTTCCAAAACGCAGAAGGCAGCTGCTGCCTTTTCAGAAGAGCTTATAAAATCCAGAGACCAAATAGATAAAGGAAGAGAAGAAAGTGATGCAGTCAGTAGGCTGAGAGAACAGATGATAAACATATGTGCTATTTCTTTGTTATTTATTTTACATGACAAACCTTTTTATTTGTCCCAGACATTTCCTCCTGTTTTGTCCCTTACAATATTTTACACTAAACTATTCCCAAGGAACTCCTCTTTGTTGTAAAGCAAACGAACAGCTATTTGGCCTTTTTGATTAATACAAACCACTTTTCTTTTAGAGATGCTTGCTCCATTTCACGTACATGAACACATAAAACACTGGTCATTTGTCAAATCTGTGGAATATCTTCCAAATCTTCCTTCCATAAATCATCATTTGTATTTATCGCCTATACTGCAATAAACTAGACTTTTACAAGACAATATGCAACATCCACGCACCAAGCTAACTGCCCAGGGACCCAGGTCCAAAAATCTTCCCAGCAAATCAAGAGCTCGCAGACGATGTACCTGGCTCAGCAGCACCTGCAGAGGAGAGGGATAACGGTTATTGCTAAAAAGAACAAAAATCCTTGTGACTGCAGAGCAAACGTAAGAGGACCTCAGGATTGTTACGTGACTTTGAACAAACCGATGGTCTGAACGAAAAAGCTGGAAGACAAACTCTGACTGCTGAAAACTTTCACCCCACTGAACAGTGTCACCAGTGGGTTACTGCCCCTCCTGATAACGCTCTCCTTTGTGACGCTTCTGCAGACACATGAAAACGTTTTCCTAGGAATGCAGTTATCCTCAATCTCCACATCATTGCTCCACTTGTTCTCTTTGCTATTTTTTTCTCTCTAGCGCAGTGGTTCCTGTGCAGCATAGCTCTGCTAGATGGAAGCAGCCCCTATGGACTTCAAATATTCTCATTGTACCACCTGCCTTTCCCCAGTAAAGCAGCAACACGATTGTATCTGCAGGAAGGATTCAAAGGTGAGCAAAAGGCCCAGCCTCCCATTACTCAAAACAGCTCAGAAGCAGAAAAAGAGGCTTTGCTTTCCTTGGCAAATCGATATAAGAGACTTAAGAGGGAAGCAAAAGGTCACATTAGTCGTTAATAAAAATCTCATTAAAACGGAGTCTGACAACGATAATGAGGTGGTAGTTTACTGGCTTATACCTACCCTGGTGTGAAATATTAACAGACAGACTTTCAGTTCTTAATCTCCTTAACAGATGTAAGATATTGGAATGCAACGTTTAATCCTCAGTTTAAATTGAGTAACATCCCTCAGCATGGGTCTCAGGGAAAGA